CGTTGGGTGCGTACCAATGAAGAGTCCCTATCGAGCTCTATTTATTTTCCCAAGTATCTGTAATCCATCCAACGAATACTTGGGATATTTTTTGTTAATGCGAAGTCAATATCTCTATATTTCTTGATGTGGTCCATTGAATCACTAGTTATCAAATTTTTCGCACAAGCTAAAGACAAAATGACAGCAACCATGTAATTTAACCGTAAATCATTTAATTTAAATAACACTTATCCATGCCTATACAACTGGTGTGTCCCACATAGGTAGGAATAAATATGTACCTTATTATGTTATCATTACTGACTATGCTTACTAATCGTATGTGTAATTTATCAGATTGATGATGCCCGTAATTATCACTAGGATGAAACAGCTGTCCAGTAATCTCTTGATTTCAGATTGATCACGAAATCACTGAAATTCCTGGAAATTAATAGTAATAATAATAATAATTATTATCGATAGCTTACAGACATCTTTTTCGCTTGAGACAATTAGAAATCCAAATAGACACCCATAAACGAGACAACAGACAAAGCCACATCACAAGTGGAACTAAGTCGATTAACAAATCAATCAACCAACCAACCATCCCACCTCCTTAGCCATAACAACAATCAGGTGATGCACCTATCCATCTATCCACCCATGCATCCATCCATCAGAGGACAGGTGTGAAGGAAGATGAGAAATGAGACAAAAACAACAAAAAAAGCATCAGTCAGAAAAAGAAACATGGAGAGTGGAAAAAAATTAACAAAGTGTAAATAATAATAATAGTAATGATAATAACGATAAGTGCTGATGAAGAGTGACATATTTAGTCTGTGTTCCAATAAAAGTACACATACAACACGCACACGCATACACTCACTCGTATACACTACACACAGACACACACATGCATCACCTCGTGTAAACAGATACACATATTTGTCTGAAAAAAAGGGCATAGAAATGAAAGTGTCTCTTTTTGAATATGTTTTCAAGAGGCAAAGAAGAAAAAAACCTAAACTAAATAAAACTAAAAACAATCAACAAGAATACCCCAAAATATTGATCGATTTGTCTCAATATGCCTGACTCCGCTAAGTAATTTAATGTGAATTATTCAATTCAATTTTAGATTTTCCCGTCGATTGATTGATTGATTGAACCGAAAAGCTCCTCGGCCTCAGATTGACATGTTGGCTTCTTGTGCTAATGCTTCGACGACATCAGGTCTAGTGGATAATGCTTTGACGTTTGAAACTACAGGCACTGGGTTCGAGCCTCGGTGGGAACACCATCACTTACTGCGGGATGCAGGTATATCTACCAGATGATGAGTCCCAGTTAGGACGAAATGCTAATCTGGCTGGATTCCACTGTTAGTCACCATCCACTAATTAACTTCTAATGAAATATTATTTGGAAGCACATCTTGGTTCTTTTGATGCGAATACATGATTGTTGTTTGAATTGAGAAGACAGTGGTGAGAAAACAACAGCCTGACGAGAAGCATTGGAAAACCACCTACACGGAGGTACTGGATAGCTGTGTCAACCTAGTTCCGGGTTAAAGGCAGTACGCATCCACAGGGTTTCAAACCCAGCACTTTCGGGTAACAAGGAAAGCTCATAGACCATTCAGACATTGGGACAGGACCCAATGGCCAGTGCATCAATTCCAATTCCTACCAATCAGTGATTCTAATACAACCACCAGTCGGTGTCATCCGTGCGCAAGTATTTATCCTCACTCCCGACTGGGTAGACCTCACTGGTCACAACTTCTCACTAGAGCTCCAGGAAACTTCATCCAGTAGCAGCCAGTCACTAATAGGTATTGGATTAATTCTGAAGACTTTAATCTTAAGGATTCTATTCGTCTCAACCTTGGCGGGTGCGTAATCCATTTCATACTATTATTATTATTCACATATTGTTAGTTTTTTCCCACTCTCCATGTTTCTTTTTCTGACTGATGCTTTTTTTGTTGTTTTTGTCTCATTTCTCATCTTCCTTCACACCCGTCCTCTGATGGATGGATAAATGGATAGATGCATCACCTGATTGTTGTTATGGTTAAGTAAGTGGGATGGTTGGTTGGTTGGTTGATTGATTTTTTAATCGACTTTGTTCCACTTGTGATGTGGCTTTGTCTGTTGTCTCGTTTATGGGTGTCTATTTGGATTTCTAATTGTCTCAAGCAGAAAAGATGTCTGCAAGCTATCGATAATTATTAATAATATTATTTTCTAGTGTGTTGGCTTGCGGGGATTTCACTGATTTCGTGATCAATCTTGAAATCAAGTGTGTACTAGACAGCTGTTTCATACTTGTGATAGGGACTCTTCAACAGCACGCCCCCAGTGGCGTTCGAACCGATGGCTATTGAGACGCTGGAACCTGATCCAATGGCCAACCGATGGATTCCAACTCCTACTAATTCGTGATTTCAACACTACTGCAACCTGTCACTGTCATCTGTGGAGTGTATTGTCCTCAGTCCCGAACGATCGGATCCCACTGATCACGATGTCTCTCTGGAACTCCAGGCGACTTCATTCTATAGCAGCCAGTCACTGGAGAGTATCAGATTAATTTTGAAGAGTTTGATTTTCAAAGATTCTATTTGTTCCAACTGAGTAGTCGGAAACTAAGGAGGACGAAACAACTCTTCAGCTGTAACTCCCCGTTAATTTCCAGTAGTTCTGTAACTGATATCAATTCTTGATCAATGTTAAAATAAATCAGATCCCTACAAATCAACTCTTGAAGTTAATTTATGTGTGTAAAACTTGGGAACTGTGGTAGTAAGTAATTCCATATTAGTTTGTTTAATAGATGTATCACACAGTGAGTGAAACAGTATTATTTACTGGATGACGAGGTTTCGAACAAAATTTATTGTTCATAATCATATCAGCAAAGAGTTTTCATTTTAAATAACCTCATCATTGGGTTCGTATTAGCTGATATAAATAATCATTATCATTATTATTGACCAAAGTTTGGAATGGCAGTCACCTCTCCACCTCACTCAACTTCATCGACTTTGAAAAGGCCTTCGACAGCGCCAATCGAGAGGTGATTTGGAAACTACTTCGCTACTACCGAGGGGTGCCACTGACAATTATACATCTCATCCAACAGTTGTACGACAATGCTGCATGCCAAGTTATCCACAACGGGAAACTTACAGAATCCTTCGAAGTGAAGACAGGAGTAAGACAAGCTGGCTGCCTACTATCGCCAATGATTTTCCTGATTCCAGTAGACTGGATAATGCGACAAACGGCAGGCAATGAGAAAACAGGCATAAAATGGACACACAAAATACTTGGAGGATCTGGACTTCGCCGATTATATATGTCTGACTTCCCACAAACTGGAAGATATGCAAGCGAAAAGCAACAAGTTGGCAGAAGAAGCATCCAGAGAAGATAGGACTTCAGGTGAACATAGAGAGAACAGAGGTGATGAAGATTCCTGGGCAACACCACCAACAGAAGCAACAACAACAGACAACAATCAGCATAAATGGGAGGAACCTGAAAGAAACAGACTCCTTTACCCACCGACCTGGGAAGCAACGTTTCAACTACAGGCGGAACTGATCAGGATATCAAAGCAAGGATAGGGAAAGCAAGGCAAGCTTTCATTACTCTCAAGTCTGTGTGGAGATCAACAGCACTCAACATCAAAAATAAGATCCGGATTTTCAACTCCAATGTGAAGTCAGTGCTACTCACTATACGGATCAGAGACTTGGCCAGCGCGTCATAAAGAGCACCTCAAACAAACTACAGACCTTCATTAACAGTTGTCTTCCTTCAATACTCAAGATCAGATGGTCAGCCAGAAAAGATCAGCAACAGGGAGGGATCTCTGGGAGCGAACCAACACAGCAAGAACCGATTGTGAAACAAATAGGCAGGAAGAAATGGAGATGGATTGGCCATACTCTGAGGAGACCATCAAGTGACATCACTAAACAAGCCCTCGAGTGGAACCCGAAAGGAAAGAGGCTAGTTGGTCGTCCAAGGGTGACTTGGAGGAGATCATGTGAAGAGGAGATGAAGACATGTGGGCAGACTCGGAGCCAGGTGAAAACGTTAGCAGAGAACCGAACGCAACGGAGACGTACGTCTGAAGCCCTATGTCCCTCTAGGAATTAAAGGAAACAATAATTATTATTATCATTGACAACATTTATGTCTATGTTTAAACGATATTGGTCTTTGTGATTTTTCTATTGTGCTTTTAAGTTTCTGTCGTGATTGGATTGATTTTCTGGGTTCAGATAGCTAGCCCCAACGTCCGGTGTTCCTTCTTTTCCTGGGCCTGGGACTGGCTGATCAACCAGTGAACTATTAAACTTGGCGATGTTATAGATATATGTATATTGGTGCACCATGTTCTCACCATCTGTCAAGTCATCCATAACAGCAAACTCATTGATGCC